CCTTTAATCCCAGCACGGGGGAGGCAGAAACACATACACAATATTTATATGTGTTGATGCAAAGGCTTTTTCATTAAAAACATTTTCCCTGTTGCTAGACTTGCTCATATGAATATCTCCTTTTGCTGCTGTGAGAAAGTGGAGTTTTAATTAATTAAGTAATCCATGGAAAGTGCTTAGTACAGTGCTGTGTAGTGATTGTTCATGAATGCTAGGTATTACTTATAAGTCCTCAATACTGGGCCAATGTAACTAATCATGACTACTTTGTGCCCTTTAAAAATGTGAGTACCACATTTTGAAGACTAACCAATCTATACGGTCATCATACAAGACATTTTATATAGACATGCATGTATAATAGTGCTGACTCTATGCATTCTAGAAACCTTCTGAAGTGTTTGCCTTTCTTAAACTAGAATATTTGTGAGAGGAATATATGATGCTCACCAGTGCTGGGCCTATTGCTACCAACTACTAACAGAAATCAACACGGAGACATTTCAAGTCTACAACACAGGAAGCAGATACGTGGCGCTAATATTCGATATGATTATTAAATACAGTAGAACAATGACAGTTGTTACCCAGAGAGAAGGGCAGCCAAGTTCTTCCTATGAAGAATAATATTCATAAAAACAGAATTTGATGAAAAATCACCGTGAAGCACTCATTCTTAAATAGCAGTTAAACTGTTTGGCTTCCGTGGCGATCTTCTCAGTTTCTTTGCTCTGTGCTACTCCTGCAGAAAGCTGATTTCTGTTGTTGCAACAAGCTCCCCTTTCCTCACCTCTGGCTACACTGAGTCAGGGTGAGGTACCAGAAGGACACTGGGAGGTGGAGAGTCAGTTTGTATGGACTACGTCACAGGCTGGCAGGGGCTGCTTTACTCCACGCAAGGTCAGGGCTCACATCCTTGCTACAATATTCCAGTGACTCCTTGGCCCCTTGCCTTTCAGACTAGCGGGAGGGAGGAATGGCGGCCTGAAAGAGCAAGCTCCAGTGCTTCAGTAGGGCACGCCCTGCGTCTAACCATTCTCTTGCAAATATCCACCCTTTAACGGTCCCCACAGAGTGTTACCTTGTTTTCCAGTTAGGACCATGAGAACAGAAAGAGTTATGGGAGCACAATGGCCTAAGGCTGTCCAGAGAGTCAAAATAGAATTTGATTTTGTTGTCAAGGCTCGAAAAGAGTTAAAAAAGAGCTGGACCTTGGTGGGATACTGGAAAGCCTTAGCAAGGCGTCGTCGCCGCTGGTAGCAAGGAATGAAATGGGGCATAGGGTAAGCACTGGGAAGCTGTGGCATCTATATGAGAATACAGGCAGAGTAACGGAAGAGAGAGTAAAGCTTACCTCGTGACTAGGAGTTTTGATGGTTCTAAGGGACACACAGAATGAAAGGACAAGAGGAAAGCCTTAAATGCTCCAGTAAAACAAAGGTGGGATCTGAGAGAGTTTATCTGCTTTAAAAGGCCATTGTTTACCTAAGCCTAGAGTATAATGCTGAATATAATGCTGAAGACTAACCCAAAAAGCTGATTTGAAGGGCTGTGGAATGGTACTGCTGTATACAATGAGCAATACCCAAACTACTAGTTCCTGGCCACAGAGCAATGACAGGGAAGGGACAATGCATCCATGGGTGAATGACAGATGTTAGTGACACTATCAGAAAATGGAAAAAGTTGGAGTAGGGAATGATGTTATACAACTAGTAAATTGTTTATTAGAACAAACCACTGCGAAGGTGGGCCTGAGGATGAATGTAGACTGAATTCCACCATAACACCAAAATCCAGTGCCATTCACCCTGAAGTCTTTACCACAGCTACTACTCTCAAGTACTAACATGATTTCTTTGTGAAATAGCTCTTATCACCAGAGATCATTGGAAGCAGTGTGTCTTCTCCCTGTAGGGACAGCATACTTTCACACTCTGACCTTTCCTCACAATAATAGAGTTTGGAGAAATCTTGATCGTTAGCTACATGAGACAAGCTGGACTGCTCATGACACCATAACAGCTGGACTTGGTGACCAGGAAGCAGCAAGCATCCAAGACGTGTCCTAAGATAAATGCTAGAGGGCAGTGGATAGACTCCCCTAGATTCCACGAACATTCTGGTGAAATATTATAAGCTCAGTGGCCTGGGTTTGCTGAAACAGATCTTGTGATAAATTTCTGTAACCTGCAATTTCACAAAACTTGGTCTCTGGATTTTGAAAGATGCAGAGGCCACACTGGAGTGTGTTGCTTTGACATATGCCTTAAGTAATCCAGGCTGCCACTTTTGGGAGGAGCCTGGGGCAAAGGGGGGCCTGCAATATACCTCCCATGATGAAAGCTACCCTCCAGCCTTGGCTTTTTAAGATCCAGCGCACACAATATTTCTAGAAAAATTGATGGCAAGGAGAGGTGCTCTATGACATCTTTGTCAGGTAGAGCTCAAAGTGCCAAGCTCTAATGGTTTTGTATAAAGATCATTGACCAAGAGCTATTCTCTATTTTAAAAGCTGCTCTTAATTTGCTAGTAGATGCTAATTATGCTAGCCCAAATCACACACTGTGAACTAGGTATCATCTGAAAATCATATAACATAAGAGGGATATAACAGCATTTCACCATTACATGAACTTGGACCAAGCAGTTGGAGATCCCAAACATGCTTCATGAGCAAGTGGTTCAGGTGTCCATGGCAACTGCTACTCCACAATCTGTCTCCTTCAACCTACATCAATCACCTTGTGGCGTGGTATTAATGAACAGCTAATAGAGAAGGAAATGCTGTGGGGCTAGTTTGCAAATGAATTGCATAACCCTTGGTGCCTGCTATGACAACCGTGTTTAGAGAAGCTAGCCTTGACAGAGTGGAAAAGAGATTCCTCAGCAGCCGGGATTTTACCAAGTCATCTTGATTATAAACTGTGCATGGCAGAAGAGACAGTCTGAGGAAATGACACATGGCATGGCCATATGCCCAACAAAATAGAAGATTGGTGTTAGGAGTCTATGGAGAGTTATATAGATGTACCCCTCAGAATTGACACGAAATATGATGATATGGTATCCTACATTAATTTCTTCTTAAAAGAATCCACTGTGGAGAAGGCTCTTAGTAATTCAGGCAAAGTAAGACATCCATAGACATCAGTCAAAGTGTTTGCCTTTACCACCCTAGTGTCTGATCAATGGACCCATGTTCAAATGATAACAGAAGCAAAGATAGACACTATGAACTCAGTTCCTTGTGCTCCCTACCCCTGTAACTGATTTAGCTACCACCATTGCTGGACTCAGAACTGTTATTCCCCAAGTGATCAAGCAGCAAGTGGAGTGAGGTAGGTCATACTGGACTCCATACAACACAGAAAATGGATAAATCTATCCTCATAGGGACTGAAAGATGTTTAAGGAGGATTTCCCATTCCTTCCTAGTCTGCTTCCTGGGCGGATTTAACAGAACATCTTACCAAATACCATGATATCCTTTGTCAAACTACTTTCGACAAGAAACTCATTGAACAGAAAGAAATATAATGAACTCAACCCTACATAGTTCATCCACATTCCTCATGTTCCATCAGCCATCATCTGCTGGCTAAGTGGAGTGGTAAAATGGCCTACCACTGGGAGGCTTCCTGTATGAGGCACGGCTTAGTATGTTCTATGGATACAGCACATGGCCTAAAGATATCCTGCCCACAGAATGAAGACATGAGTCTGAGAACAAAGAGGTGAAGACATGAGTCTGAGAACAAAGAGGTGAAGATGTTTACAATTATTGTATGAAGATAAGGCAAAAAGTCATATTCATAAACTCTTATGAGGCACACAGTCCTTAGTTCAGTAACACTTCAATGAGTTAGAATATACAGGAAGCTGATGGAAATATCTGCATCTCTTCAAAACACCCATCAACTTATGATACTTTTCATAATAAAATAATATTTCTGTAACTGGTAACTAGAGTAGCATAATTTTCAAAAAAAATACATGACATGTAAATAAATGAAATATTTTTGAGTTTGGAAAGTAAAATACATTCTTAGAACATGTTGTTTTCATATGCATGTTATTTTAACTTTTTTAGCTGTCCCAAATTTAATAGTTAATGTTTAAAATTGCTTTCTATAATTCATATTATCTTAAAAAATGAAGTTTGGCCTTGAAGATAGCAATGAAATGTAAAGAAGGCTAATAATGCTTAAGCCTCACATTCCGGTGCTGTGAATTACAATCTGTCAATGTACATGAGAACATCACTTTCCCAGATCTTCACATTAAAATTAAAATTTAACATGTCATTATAGACAAAGCATATACAACTGCTCTGAAAGTATTTTATTATAATATTCTACCTTGAATTTCTCAGCAATGGCAGTTCATGCTAAAATCAGATGAGATTCATTCAGATTCCTGATTATTCTTCCTCATTTATATATTGCTAAGCTAGTATTTTCTTAGCACATCAAACATTCTAGATCATTAAATCATTTATGAAGCAGATAAAAATGTTCAGATCTTTCCCAATAAGTACAGTTTAAAAGCTAGCAAAATAAGGCGAGTTAAATGAAATGTAAATTCCTCCAACAGTTAATTTTGTAATGAGTAAGTACTTTCAAGTTTAAAAAGAACAATATTTGATTTCTCACTGAGACCTAAGCCTGGGTACTACTGAACTGTTAAGAAACTCTACAGCTTTCATGTTTTCTGGAAACTTCAGAAAGTAAGTGCGACATTTCCCTAGGCTCCAGTAACCCTGGATTAAACATAATTACTGCTTTGATAATTATAAAAATTAAAGAAAATTTATGTTCTAGCTGCAACAAAATCTTTAGTGGCAGTGTCCTCTTTTCACAGCTGTTAATCTTTGAAGACCCATGTGTAGCCTACAAATGCCACTAATAACACACAAGACTCTCTAGGCCACGGCTACACGCCACTTAAGGTAATGCTGAGCACCTTCTTGACTTTATCTTTGACTCGGTGACACTTACCAGAGTGGGTCCTGAGGTGTCCTGTGAGAGCGTCCCTTCTTCTACACGCATAGCTACAGAAGGGACATTTGAACGGCTTCTCTCCAGAGTGTAACTTTATGTGTCTCAGAAGGTTGCCCTTCTGGGTGAAAGAAGCTCCACACTGGTTACAGTGGAAGGGCCGCTCCCCTGAGGACAGAGTGGGAAAGAGCAAGCAGGTTACTGTGAGGGAACGATGAGCCAGCCAGTTAACCACCGACAACTCCCTAGGCTCACAATGGACATCTGTCCACACTTTCTCCTAGACGATCTCTCTGGTCACACTAACTTCTCAAGCTTCAGGCCAAGCGGTCATTTCCTCATTTAATATAAGCTTGACAAGATTCCCGTCTCTGGCTGAGAGGAACAAGAATAGTCTCTACCAGTGGCTGAACAGCCAGCTAGTGCTCATCACTCAACTGACCATTGACTTCCATAGAGAACATTCATCCTCACAGCCCATTAATGCCTAGGAAGTACTGATTTAAATTTAGGAATGAAGAACCGGAAGTCAAAAATGGCAAAGTATCTGATAATACTGGCACTGAGATCTGAACCACAACAGGCAATAAACAACAAATAAACCTTCAAAGCCTACAAAGGAGATCTCTGGATAGAGACGAAGAACTCCTGCTCTCTTGGCCATTAATGAAACCTTTGGCAAAAATCCCCAGTATACCTGAGAGAATCCAAAGAATATTATACTTCCAGATATTTTCTGCACGTTATTTTGTGAAACACATTTGTTGAAGAGGAATCTTTTCTCATGGTTCTCTATCAGTGAAGCTGTTAAAAAATTATGTAAGCCTGCATTATCGATTTTGTCTATTACCCTCAATTGGTAGTTACCAATGTTATCAAAATTAACAAAATCCATACAGGCAAGAAGTCAGTAACACTGCCACAATCAAATGGATAACATTATCAAACCATGACGAAAATAGTCTTACTTTTCATTTGCTTGTCTCTAAGCATAGATAAATGATTAAACTGACATACAAATATATAGTAAAAATATCTCATCCTAAAGCTCAAAGTTTAGAGAGAACCAAGCTTAAACACTTCCTTACAGTTGAAAGGAACCTTTTCTGCCTTTGTTACATGACAGGTACAATTTCCACAGCTTTCCTGATGGATACACTGAATTGGCATGCTCCTGGATCTTTAGCTAGAATATTTATATTAGCAGTGAAGTGAACCTCGGAACATATTTGGCCCGTTATATAACGTAAACCCAGGGTTTCTCTATTAAAGAAAGCTAGGGAGCAAAAATCAGATAAGCTTTGGTTGACTTTCTGGCAGCTGCCACTGTTATAATCTGTCACACAGTTTTGTTACAAAACCTAAATAATTTAAAACCAGGTAAGATCAAGTACATATTGGATTCGACAGCATTCATTCCTTTAGAAAGTTAATGATGTACGTACCAAAAGGTTTGTGCATGGCATTTTTTTTTTATTCTTAAAAAAACACGGAGCTTTTAGAGCTAAGTTACAAAAGACATTAGGCTAAAAACTCACCATATTAAAGTTAGCTTAGACTGAATTTTATTTAGCTAGTTTGATTTGTTAAAATCTAAAATGTCTCAGAGAAGTCTTATGACTTAGTTTTAAAATCTAATTCTGACTGGGAGAGGTGGTGTACGCCTTTAATGCCAGCACTTGGGAGGCAGAGACGGGGCGTCTCCGAGAGTTCAAGGACCGTTAGGTCTACAGAGTGAGACCCTGTCTCCAAAATCTAATTCTGATCAAATATTCTGTTTTGTTTGTTGAGAAAGTGTAAGTTGAACGCATAGTTTTCTTGCCTTAGAGTGTCCAGAGGCTTGTTCTTTGGTGGGTGCTGTGATGCTGGGCTCTTAAACCTAAGTTTTTAAGATCTTTTTAAATTTCATACACATTCACAACGTAGCTTTGATTCTTTGAAATTCTTTTCTCCAAGGAAATAACAGAGTGCAACTTTAAAATCATAATTATCTACTCTCCACCCTGACATGGAATTTTAATAAAAGGAAAGACAGGGAATCTTCAACAAAGTAGCTTTGTGAATAAAGAAAACAGCAAACATAAATTGTACTTTTTACTTCAACTGTTCAGTTTTACTCTTGGACTCTTTCTGTGTAAGTTTCTCCTAGGAAAGTGATAAACTGGGACACAATGACTTTAAGAAGAAATCAAATTAGCACATCTGTTGAAAATTTTGAAATCACGTTTGCGTTAGCAGCAGGCTGATTTACACTGTCTTTAAATCATTTATAATCTTTGAATGGATGGTTTTAATCTCTACATTAAAGTAGTTCATTCAGCACTTAAAATATAATGCTAGTCTGGAAAGGCAATGATCTTAAAGGGGAACCCCTTTTTAAAAGAATGTTTAAAACTAATTTTAAGGTATTCTAATCAAGTTTTATGAGCGTAAAGACGGAGTTAACTACGTGTTAACATTTACAAAATACTCCAGGTATCTGAAGTTTTTTACTAAGAACACCTCAGAGAGGGCAGACAATGAAAGGGGCTCCATGTCCACGTGTTATGGCTCTGTGGCTGGGTGCATAAGGAGGACTCTGTGTCCACAGGCATGAGATGTAAAGAACAAGGCTAGGTGTGCTTTAAACAGTAGCTCTTCTCTGATAACAGACAAGGAAGGCTCTAGCAACAAGCGACTCTGATGTCAACCAGATCCACCTTTGAGAAATGCTGGTGTGAATCACTATGACATCTCCATCTGGTCGCTCTGTGGCTGTCAGCTCCAGGCTTTATGCATTTTAGTATGAAATCTGCTTAACTATGCTTAGTGCCTTGATTATCTAGAACTAGATAGCACTCTGACGACATAGTTGTTTTATTGCATTCAACACTGAAATTACAATTAGAGTGATACTCTCAATACCACTACTACTAGAGAAGAGGATAAACCAGATTAACTATTCTTTGTATACATAACTAAATTCTAGGAATGCTTCAATATAGTGTATATCTATCTACCTATTTATATGTATATATGTGTTTATGAATACATGCATAGTTAATTAATAAAAAAATTAATTGACTCAATTTTTTAAATTCTGTAAAATATTGGGAATCCTGATATTCAATGTTGTGGAATATTTCCCAGCCTAGACATACAGGTAGAATTATTTTGAATTTAGGGTGAAAAATTACCTACTTTTTCTCTATATAAGTGCAAAACAATGACATATTGTTGTGAGGGCATTAAACAATGCATAATTATTTTAATTTGTTCTTTAAACCAAATGGAGAATCAGCTGGCTCTTTTTGAGTCAGTTTATATTTTATATAAAGTATTATGTTCTTCATATAAAAATGGGAAAAAAAGTTTTAAAATCCTCACAGATTCTTTGCTTACAGTACTAGTATTGTAGAGCAATCCAATTCAAAACCAAAGTAGGTTATTGTATTTGTGACAACTGATCTTCCCATTGGTGGGTACAGAAGACTGGACTAACAATAAAGAAAATTGAGATGTGGTCATAGTAGTCCTCGGGTCCATTTTAAAGCTGATTATAGGTTTTTGTTGTGTTTCATGGCTTTTGGATGCACGGTCTAAGGAAGCTCAGTTGGCCTTGAACTTGTTCTGTAACAGAGACTGGCCTCAAACTCCTGCTCTTTCCTGCCTCCGCTTCCCTGGATTACAGGTGTGCTCCATCATGCTAAACTGGTATTGTTCTTTAAACACCAGTCCACCAATTTATTGGTTGCCTGAATTAGTTTATACATCATTTTTTATTGTGGAGAAATGAAATTTCAGTAATTGATATAATTTCATAAACACATCCAAAATGTGTTTAAGCATTCCAGTCACATGCAAATGAACAGGAACCAGTTTCCTTCTGTGACTTAAAGACAAGACAGTGTTCCTGTGTTGGGCTGGAAAACCAACAACAAACATTAGAGAGCCCCGGAACATGAGAGTGGCTAGCAAATATTGTAGTTTACAAAGACAAGAGAGCTACATCCCAAAGAGAAGCAAAATTAAGGGTTGCCTACGTTTATAATGTTATCACATATTCATGTTCACATGTGAATTGAGTCTCTACAGTTATTATTTGTTTGTCTGTCTGTTGTTTGTTTTTCTGTACCTATACTCCCATCGAAGAGTGCCTGGAGTATCTGATGAAAATATTACCTGATTATTTACTAAAATGACAATGCCGAGTGACAGCCAGCCATTAAAAGACACTGGAATTGGCACTTTAGTAGAGAACAAAAGAGGAAGAAGCAAGGTACAGCAGATCTGATACCTCATGTAATTGGAGGACACTGGGTGGTTACATACATTCTTATTCACTGTCAATTGTACATTAGATCTCTTATGAGCTTCCTAAGGGCCTCACAAAGGATTGAAGACAGTGAGTGGCTGTTGTTTAGCCACAAATACATTTTTTTTAAGAGTGGGAAACTCTCTAATGAAGACAGCAGTCCCTACTATTACAGAGAAAACACCTGGTTGGAGACTAGATTCTGACTATACATTGCTACGTCAAGTTTAAAGAAACACAAAGAAGCCTGTCGCCAACAATATTACAGGAGAATTGAGACCATGACAATCAACTGGAATCAACTAAGTCATCAGAAATCCATAGTCAAGGCTGATTTGAAGATGCTATACCTAACAGTGTCACAGCCTCCTAAGTTTCTCTATGAACATCTATTGAAATTACAAAGGTCTCCCAGATCTGAAGAAGGAATTCGGGTTTTTAAAATAGGTCAGTAAGGCAAAGGATTTGGTGCTATTGAGTGAACTTCACATGGCTGCTTAGTTTTTTTCTCCTTGCCTTTACCAGTGAGTCTCATATTCGAGAATATGTGCAAATCTGTGTAATGATTTATAAACAAGCCCCATACCAATGACATCATTTTCAGTGTTTAAATAATTCCATCCCACTTTTGTAGTAAATACATACTGGAAAGTGGAGTAGGTGCTGAATTATTTTATTAAAAAATGAATTTCACAACAGATACAAAAAATACAAATTAAAACTAAGTCTTCAAGAGACAGTTCTAGTGTTCTTTGAATTTTCCTAACAAAAAAGATTTATTAAAAATCTTCCCAAACTAATATTTAGCATAAACTTTAGTCTTAAAATTATCAGTAAATAAAATTGAACTGCAAAATAAGTGAATTCTTTTAATATTTCAAATGAAAATTAATCATTTAAATGGGTGTTATGTTCTTCAAGACACTCACTCTAATATAATAAACATAGCTTTGTAAATTCCTTTTCCAAGCCAGTATTATTTTGTGAGCATGGAATAAAAGTAGATTAATTTTATAGTCCTATCCTTTTTTTCTTATGGAATAGAAACCAAAGCTTGGTATATTTTAACTTTTCCAAAGACATTTAAAATACTAAGGAAATATTCATTAGTGATATAAACATTTTTAAACATGACATTTTTTTAAAATAATATTCATAACAAAGCAAAACTGCTAATTTTTATAGTTATAAAAATGCATAATTGGAAAGTAGATGATATGAATATATCAATCTGAATGTGAAAATTCTATTTTAATTTAAAAAGTATAAGCCTTAATTTATAGTGACACTTTATAATAAGTTGTTGGTATAGTAACAGTCCACTTATGTGTGCTCAAATTAAACGAGCCTACAAATCAGAGTAACATGGTTCCAGCCTCACTAGTGACCTTTTCTAGGTAAGGGACACAAGCTAGACAACTTGATTTTCTTCAAGTGTGTGTCATGACAGGTCTGAACTAAAAATGCTTTAATGTATAATTATAGCACATGTTTTAGAATAAAACTTTTACGTTGATTATTTAGAAGTAAAATTTTAAAATACATTTCTTCCATGTGATTTCTCATTCTTTCAAAAGAATATCACATTTTAAAACTAAGAACATTATTAATATTTTACTGGAGAATACTATCATGTTTTAGTAGAAGACATATCACTTTAATTTTTTTCTTTCTTTTTTAGAAAGGGTCTCACTATGTAGCCTTGACTAGCCTGGAACTCATTATGTAGACCAGGTTGGTCTTGAATTCAGAGATCCTCCTGCCTCTGATTCCCCAGTGCTGAGATTAAAGGTGTGTGCCACCACACCTGATTTGAAAATTTTTATTGTTGTTTGGTTTGGGGACAGTCTCATGTAGTGTAGGCTGGCCTCAAATTTTATATAAATTAGGATCCTCAAATTTTATATAAATTAGGATGACCTTGAACTTCTGATCCACCTGCCTGCCAAACACTGGGATTACAGGTGCATGCCACCCTGCCCTGCTCAATTTGAAACTTCATCAAAAATTAACTGCTCTCCCTTAAAACAATAGACACACCCACACCCACAACTTCATTGTGTTGTGTTTACCCACTCTCCTCTGCCTTCCTTCCCTCCTGTCCTTCTTTTTTTCCTATGTCCCTCTATCAAAAGCTTTGAGAAGATTTATAGAACACTGTCCCCTCCTGATCTGGCCTGGTTTTATGAAGTGCTTGTATCTCTCAATGCGGTGACAGCATATACTAAATTATCCACGGGTACTTTCCTCACCTAACTCCAGACTTCCACATTTCTACCTACATCCCTGCCATTCTTTGACTGTTCTCACCCTAACCATCTTTTTCCAGAGCCAAAACTAAAAGTGACATCCTTGAACTAGAGGAAGCACCCTTCGGCTACAGAGACCTTTGGTCAGCAAAGCCTGACCAGAAACAATATTTCAGGGAGTGTTAACCAAAGTGAAAACGGTTCCTTCCTATATAAATGTGTGAGTGCTATTTTGTAGTGTAAAGTCCTAGGAAGCAAACTATATTACCTGCCCATGGGTATGGTAAAATAGGTATACAAATATAAAAAGATTAAATTACTCCGTGAAATTCTCCTATACCTTTTGAACCCTTATCATATTATTGCTATATTAAGAACTGTGGAAACTGAATCCCAAACTTCTTTTCTGACATGCTATTCAGATTTGAAGGCTGGAAGTCAAGACCCAGGCTACTTTCTGCTTCCCAGCAATCCAATACTAGCAGAATTCTGAAAAGGTAACTTCACATTGCCACCCCTGAATAAAAAGGAAAGAGAGTAGATGTCAGGTAATATCAACATCAGATGCCACGGGCAGTCATCAGGTTATTCGTTCAGCTGCTTACCAGTGTGACTCCTTTTATGTACCATAAGCACATTGGGCCCAATGCAAACCATGCCACAGACGTCACATTTCAGTTTACCATTCGGAAGCCGGATTCCTCCCTCGCCTTGAAGGTCCTGGACTTTCCTGTTGTCAGCCAGCTCGCTGCTCTCAATTAGGGGCTCTTCTAGGCTGCTCCCCTCATCATGGCCCCTGATCTCATCTTCGCGGCTCAGGGGTTTCCTCTCACACTCTTCATCACTCTGCATTTCTAGCTTTACAGAATTTGCTGGAATTTAAAAGAATTGAAGAAGACATTTGTTACGTGCTGTTACCCTCATTTCTTTCCTGTCCACCGTCACTCTACGGAGCGGATGGGAAGGATGCACTAAGTCAATCCACACTGTGTGCGGTGCTCGGGAGTGAGCCTGGGGGAGAGTGAAGACCGCTCGGAAGCACTGTAGGCAGACAATGGACCCTCGACTTCCGCTCCTGCTCATTTATTTCACTCAGCTACATTGCTTTTATGCAAGTCCTGAACTAATTCTTGTGGGTTTTTTTTTTTTGAAGTTGGTCACTACAGTTAATAAGAATGAAAAGCACGCGTGGAAGACGCAAGGTTAAAAGTTTCTTAACCCACTGAGCCACACCTCATCTTAATTGAACAATCCCGTTCATGCCACATTCTCTGCTTCCCATCAAGAGTGCCTGTGTCAACCTGCTTCTGCGCAGAGCAAGAGAAACAAGTCAAGATCTTAATCCCACAAACGGCTGTCACCGATGAAGGCACACTGTCAAGGCAAATGTCCCCAAGTCAGACTAAACACAAACATTCAGCTGAGGGCTGTATCAGTGTGAGGGAAAGTGCATAAACCTTGCCATCTTAAATTACCCTGCTTTTGTTTCCTCCATGCAACAAAAATAGTCCTCTCTGGAACACACTACCAGGTTGTGAACCAACGCGCTTGAACACTGATCTCCAACAAATCAAAGAGCAGCCAGTGACAGGAACAGCCTAGCATGCATGTACACACTTGCGACTGTTAAGAAACTTAATGCCTTCTGTTTGCTGTTTTTGGATCATCCCACAGGAAAGTTGGAATTCGGTTAGCACAGCCCTTGATCTAAATGGCTCAGTCCTCTTACAAAGTAGAGGCAGGCTTTTAAATTAGCATCAGGTTTTCGGTCTCGCGATCTTGAAAGTTTCTTAAGAATCCATACTGAAGCTCCTCGACATAACAAATTAGCTGGTTCCTGCCTGTATGTCCTGTGTACTGCAGCTGTTTTCCTGAAAAGGTGATGTACTCTTGATTCATGACTACTGCTTACCAGGACAGGGTGCCATCATGATGGCGTGTCTCTGTCCCTCTCTGCGGAGCTCTCTAATCAGAGGCAGTGTGCTACAGAGTGCCAGCAGTATAATCCTAAACTAATTACTTAACCTATGAATCTTAACATCGTGCATTTGAAAAGCGGCAATGAATTCAAATCGCTGAATAAGGCCTGGGCAGAACCTTTGGTGAGAGTGGAGATACTTACATTCTTAAATTGTTAAGCATCTTAGTATTTCTCCTTGTCCTCCAAAAAATGGAGATGATAATGCCTCCACTTTGCAGGGTTGATCTGAGCATTAAATGGATAAACTCAGTACTCAGGCATCTCCCTTTTTCTTCAGGCAATATGATGCTACAGTTACTTTGTAAGATTTTGGTGAAGATTAATTAACTTACACAATGTAAACTGCTCTATAATCCACAAAGGGACAGCCATCCTTACTGAATCTAGCAATTTAGAAACTGATATGATCCTATTTGATTTTTAAGAAGAGACGGGTCAGTATTCTACTCAACACTATATCCCCGCCCCCGAACAAGCATGCTCACAGACCTCGTGATCTATAGGAGCTGTTCAAGCAGTATTCACTCATTAGTTTTACTAAAATCATTACGTATTTCATTCCCCCAACCCTGTTTTATGTTATAGATTCCATGCCATTGTAAAGAGCGACAAAACAATACGAAGGATTGAGTGAGAAAATTAAGTCATTTTTAGCAAATGCTCAGAATCCTTCAGTCTCTGCTTCTAAAGAAATCATGATCATAATGCTCACAGTTAGAAGTCTATCTGAATCCATTTAAAATGTAAAATAAATTATATATCTAGACTATCAGGAGAGATTTATGATCATCCATTCTCTGTTGCTATTATATATATATCCCCACACAGAAGGATCAGTGTGAAAAGTCTTGTATTTTTACAGGCATTTAAAAGTATGAGTGAAGCTCACTGTTATAAATTTAAATGGTCTTTTTGAAAACTGTATATCAACATTATTTGCCCATTTTTCTACCAGGTTGTCAAACTTTTCTCACTGAGTTTAAATGTTTCCTTATTCTGAAAATCAAAACCCCAAACTCCCTAATATCTAAAATGATTTCAGGACTGATATGACACCACAAGCAGAATACTCTACAACCAATGACACAAGCCAGTTTGTAGCCGTCAGAGGAACATGCTGGAAATACCGTAGATAATTACTTCCGTTCAGACTTCAGGTGGCTGCCCAAGATACCTCACTATACATATGCAAATATTCCAAAAAACATACTCTATTAGGAACACTTCTCCCTAGAAATTCTCCCAGGCCTATTCCCCGTTACCCAGGAACCTAGGCCTGCACTGCTGATGTATTTTGCAAATATTTTGACTTTCCATTTTATTCATGAATTAGCTATCATTTGATAAGCCACATTTAACCACCATGAAGCTTGCCAGGGTTCCTCTTCAGAACTCAAGAAAAATATACCTGCATGTGCAGACTGTTAGCATAAAAGTATAGATGTCTCAAATATCAAAATAGGATGGAATTATAAAAAAAAATACAGCTTGATTTTAAATATCAGAGGACACTACTACGAGGCTATCCAAACCCAACAACAATGGACACAGATAAAATGTCATTTAAAAAATACTGTCAGATTAAAATATCCTTATGAAGGGCTATTCTCCCTAGATGAGTATAATGGAGGCAAACACTAGGGAAATGTTTATTTCTGATGTAATTGAGACAGAAAAAATAAAGTATAGTATGGGTTTTTTATACCGATGCTGTAAGTAATCATGTTTATCATATGTAAATTTGTGTCCCATTGCTTTCCTTATATAGTAAATTAGTAAAATGTAACATGTTTCAATATATACCTCATACACTAAACTTCACCCAAAATGGTAGCCCACTCACAAAAATTTTCCATTATACTCATTTCTAATGTCTGTGTCTAAAGTTGAAATCCTATGTTAAAGAAGCAGGAAATTAAATAAAATGTCCTTTAAATACTAACCACTAAACAGAAGCCTTTCTAGCTCTAAAAAAACTATGGTATGTTTCTTTTTTCAATATAAGATGTTTCTAATTATGACAGACAACCTATAATGTTTGAAGTATTTAATGATAAAATTCAAGTGTTAGGGAAAAGGTATAAATTTAAATTTCCACACTAAGAAAGAGCTGACTATCATTGTTTAAAGCATAGTGAGCCCTAATACAACTGTCAATCACTAAATACAGTATTAATCGTACTTTAGTTTTCAATTTTTGGAACTGGAGATTTAACCTTCACTACATGGACTTATTTTCACAATGTGGTCTAGGAATATGTTCTCATAAACAGGCTAATTTCACTCTATATAAGTTGGAAGCTAATTTGATTTTATGTAAGTCTGATGTGTTCTTCCATACTGTGTAATTCAAAGCTATAAAAGAAGCTCTTTGGAAAAAAATGACTTCTCAGCCAAACAATCTTCTATTATAAGCTTCATTAGTAAGCATACTGGGCTACCTACACTCAGAAGCTTCACCATACTGGGCTCCTACACTCAGAAGATTCACCATACTGGACTACCAACACTCAGAATCTTCACCATACTGGGCTACCACAGTTGGAATCTTCACCATACTGGGCTACCTACATTAAGAAGCTTCAAAATCATCATTGTGTCAAGATATATAACAAGGAGTAGAGGGCCACACTATACTTGCCTTTCATTCCTTAGTGAGACATTAACGAGAACACTGAATGAAAGTTTATATACAGGTAAACAGATACAGATTATTATAAAGCATGTATGCACATACACATACTCCAAAAACTGAAAATTTGAAAATGTTTTTGAAAAACTGAAGTAAGTCATCAATTTGATGAAAAGTACTCTGGAAAACTGCTCCTATACTCTACATGATTATTCTACACATCCTTGCAAATGCAGAAAACACATCACAAGCCCCTTGTATTATTTCCTGTCTGGGAAGCTTAACAAATCTACTTGTGGGTTAGTAGAATCAGGTCATACTAGTAATAAAGTTTTAATTTGTAGAAAGCTTATATGATCAAAATATTCTGATAATTATACTTGCAGTTCTGGTTATTACATTATTTCCACAACTTTTCAACTAAAATTTAATAAGGTTATTTTTGAAAACCAAATTTTCTTTTATGGAAAGTAAAATTTATCATCTCAATTTTTGACAGTTCAAAATTACCTTCATATATTCCACCATGCATATAAGAAACTTACTTGTTAAAATTTTTTTAATTATTTCATATTTCTTGAAGGAATCAGTCACCAGAGATGGCAAACTCCCATGTGTTGCAAAGGCAGGTGCTTGGGTGAAACTATAGTTATGGCTATAAATATATATTCAATTTATGCAAAATGTCCAAAGGATGTTGTATAAGTAAATTATATTAGTGAAATATCTGTTTTTAGGTACAAACTCCTTCATGACCTCTTTTTATATGCCTACTGCCTTGTTAATGCGTGTTTCTTATTAAGTAAATGGGTTTTGTTTTCTTTTAGTCACCAACCAACAATAAAGATTAAATAAAATGTAATAAGCAGCAGATATTTTAGTGTTTTCTACCCTTTCTTGGTGAGAAGGTTGTGTTAGGGACCCAACCTAGGTCTTTGTGTATGCTCAGCAATCACTTGGCTTGACTTACACTCCTGGCCTTAGTTCTATGACTCCATCATCATCATCATCATCATCATCATCATCATCATCATCATATTTTTGTTAATTAAAACAATTTTCACATTTAAAATATTTAAATTAAACATATTCAAATATATTTTAATCATGTTCTTATCCTCCCCCAATTCCTTCTTCTCCCCTTCTCTATTTACACAGATTTAAGTTCTTTCTCAAAAATCAAGCAAAAACCCAACTGCTAAAGAAACATCTGTTTTTGTTTCTTGCTATGTGAGGGAGCTGGTTCATGTGAATGTGAC